AATCCCGGCTGCCTTACCCCTTTCATTTTACCTACTGCCTCACGAACTTCCCCCACACTCACAACTGACTCTTCCTCACTCCTACAAGATGTTATTCCTCCCTTTCCCTATACACGAAATCACAGCTTCCCTATCTTCATCAACATTTAACAATTCCTCAAAATATTCCTTCCATCTTCCCAATACCTCTAACTCTCCATTTTAATAACTCTCCTCTCCTATTTTTAACTGACAAATCCATTTGTTCTCTAGGCTTTCTTAAAATTGTTTTAAACTCACTCCAAAACTTTTTCTTATTTTCAACAAAATTTGTTGATAACATCTCACCCACTCTCTCATTTGCTCTCTTTTTACATTGCTTCACCACTCTCTTAATTTCTCTTTTTCCCAATACTCTTCCCCCCCCTTGCATCACTCTACTTTGTAAAAAAATTCTCATATGCTAACTTTTTCTCCCTTTTCTATCCTTTACATCACATTCCCCCAAACGCTCCCTTCCCCCCTGCACCCACTTTCCTGTAAACCCCAAACTTCTCTGAACACTCTAACATACATTTTTTTAAAAATCCCCCTACCTTTCGACCCCTTGCCTTTGCTCTCATTAGCCTCTATCCTCCAATAGTGTTTTTTAAACTTTCCCTAATCCTTCTTTTGTTTATAAACCTTTACCCCTCTCTTTCCCTGATGCTTTATTCTCCTTGTATCCCCTCTACCTTTTTACTCTCAGGTAGCACAAATAGAAAGTGATCTATATATCTGTGGCCCCCCTAAAACATGTACATCCTGAAAATCTATCAACGTTTTTTTATTACCAATACAAATCCAACAAAAATGTCATTTTCCCCCTACTCATATGTGTATACTTATTTATCCCCTTTTTCTTAAAATATGTATTTCCTATAACTAAAAACCCCCTTTTTATACAAAATTCAAACAAAGGGCTCCCTTATATTTTTTCCCCGGCACCCCCCAAATTACCTACCCAAACCCCCCTCTAAAAGTTTTTCCTACTTTTGCATTCAAATCCCCTACCACATTACCCTCACTTTGGTTCAAAGGCTCCTAACATTCACTTAACATCCCCCAAAATCCTTCCTCCTCGTTTTCCTCTCTTCCCCCGGGTGAAACACGTTATTTACCCATTTCTCGCATCAACCTTTTTTAATCCACAAAATTTCTTAAATTTACCATTCATTTTTCCTTTTCCCCTTCCATAATGATCATTTAACATTACTGCTACCCCTTCCTTTGCTTAACCTCTCAGATACTCCGTTTTAAATCCATTTTTTTCCCCCCACTAAACTCCCCTCCCCCCTTCACTTTTTTTTCGTTTTAGGGCCAGGACATCCAACTCTTTTCATTCATAACTCAGCAATCATCTGTTTCTTGTCATCCGCACACCCCACGCACATTTAAGCAACCCAGTTTTATAAATTTTTTCTTTTCTTTTTTTTTAGAAATTGTATAAGGAGAAGGGTTACTACCCCATTGCCCCCGGTTTTTTCCCGCCTCATACGACACGCATGGCTTACGGGGGAAAGATTTTTTCCACTTCCCCATGGCAATAGAAGAAAAAAAAAGAACAAGACTTTTTAGAAAAAGGAAAAAAACCAGAGTTGTATATATATATATTGCATGTGCGTGTTTTAAAAAGGTGACCAAAGTGTAAGAAGTACAAGATATCCCGTTATCTTAGCGTGTTTATGAGACGGAAAAAAACCAGCAATCCTACCATCATGAAAAACATTACGGGTTTTTTTTTTCACGTCATCGGCAGGACGGTATACTTTCCCTGGGTGGTTGCTGCTACCAACCTCTCCCTTTTGTGGGGGTTATGTCATATATTTTTAAATCTGAAGAAGATTTAGCCTTGTATCACCCCTTTTTTTTTTTATTTTATTGAATTGTAATTAGCCCATGTACAAAAAAATATAATATTTGATGGGTTTTTTAATCCCCTTTTTTTATGGGAAGGTCCCCATTATAATTTTGTGTTTAATCGTAACATTAACTTTGTGTATGTAGGTGTGTTTGGGGGAACCAATGTCTTTGTAAGTTTTTATCATAGATTTTAAAATTTATTTATTTGCAACAATCATTTTGCGATTTATTTCTAGTATGATTTAGTTTGTTCTTAGAATAATGACTACCGATGTGTAATGATGCGTATATGTATACATAAAAAGATTGCAGGACTCGTTCCTAATGTCTTTAAAAAGACCCCGTTTTTTAGTAGATATTGTTTTCAATGACCATTCATTAGGAAATTAATGTATGTTATTTAGAATGGGGACTGTACATACGGGGGGGGGGGGGGTAGAAGTGTCAGCTGTGTCGGCACTGACAATAATGAGTGGGGGGGGTAGAAGTGTCAGCTGTGTCGGCACTGGCAATAATGAGTATTGTAAAGGAGTTTGAAGATTATGTGGATTAATAATATATAAATAACAAAGTGGAAAAAATAATGCAGATTGTAGGTTTGGGTTTTCCTTGGTTATAATAATAATGATGTAATCTTACTTAACATAGTTACATTGGATGTAATGTATATGGGATGAGGGACAGGTGTGACAACACAACGTTAATCGTCTGTGTTCATTTAGACAATGAGATTTATAATTTTGAGTAAGAACTGATACTGTGTTCTTTTATTTATTTAATGTATTGTGTTGTTTTAAATAAAAATATAAAAAAAAAAAGTTGCTACTACAACACTGCCATGTTCGCCAATCTTCCAAGTTGCTCATCTTCAATCTGAACAGTACTCCTCACCATACTCAAGTGATCCTCAGAAACCTGCTTCTCAAAGGATTTTTCCTGCACGTTCACCAGTAGGCCTCCCTCTACCCGCACGTCACCAATCTGCACAGTCTTCCCGTTCTCCAAGGCAGATGCCTCACTTCCCACAAACTGTGACAGTGATGGGCTGGTACCCACCAGTGGCAGCTCACGCTCCACTTCCTCACTCCAGGAAGTGCCACTTCTATGTACAGGTGACTCATCAGCATGACCCACCTCTGGCTCTGGCTCTTTCACCATCTCACTACCTAGGTCCTTTCTCCGCTGCCATCTCCCACACTGGGCCGCCATATGGTCATATGCACCACATAACCTACACGTCTTTTGCTGCCCAGCGTAGTACACCATTACCTGTGTCCTAAATGCGTCCAGTATGACGTAAGACGGGATGGCATGCCTCAACTCCATCTTGATTGTGAACGTACCATCCGGCAAGCCGGCATACGCCCCATCCGTCCATTTACCAGCCATAGCCAGGTGGCCTGGTGGCTAAAGCTCCCGCTTCACACACGGAGGGTCCGGGTTCGATTCCCGGCGGGTGGAAACATTCCGACACGTTTCCTTACACCTATTGTCCTGTTCACCTAGCAGCAAATAGGTACCTGGGTGTTAGTCGACTGGTGTGGGTCGCATCCTGGGGGACAAGATTAAGGACCCCAATGGAAATAAGTTAGACAGTCCTCGATGACGCACTGACTTTCTTGGGTTATCCTGGGTGGCTAACCCTCCGGGGTTAAAAATCCGAACAAAATCTTATCTTATCTTACTGTTCAAATACATACCGCAGATCAGTCTCGTCCGCCTCAAATGTCACATTTCAGACTTTCACCCATGTGTAATGCTTAGACACGTCGATTAGGCGAACACGTATCGCTGAATTAACATCCACGCTCCTGTCCTGGTACTTGTCAACCAGCCGTTCATACACTCCAGCTGATCTCAACTTGACGAAAATACGATAGGCACCATTTAGTGCCACACCATACAGTTCTTGATCCGCAACACCATAGGTGTCACGGATAATTTGCGGTAAAAGCACTTGTGCAGACTGAGGCGTTATCGCACCACGCAACAATTCAATGCACACCGTGTGCAAACGCCTTCTCACAGACTGCGCCATGTTGTGAAAATATAAGTCTCCTCCAATGGCCAGCAGAGGGCAGTAGTCACACGTCCGCACTCTGCTCAGGTCAAGCGGCGAATGTGATTTCGTAATTATTGAGGTGTTACGTATTATGTATTTGATATGAAGTTTAATATACAACAATCGTAAGTGTGTAAAGAATTTTTGGATAATTGAGAATGTCTTCGTACATACAGTTTTATGTAAAATGTCAATACCTGTGACATTCTTTGGGTTATATTGCATATTGTGTTTATGGCTGCAATTTTGGATGTAATAAACCCACCTGTATATGAAGCAGTGGGCTGTCTTTAGTTTAGTTCTTATGTATAAGTTTAGTGCTACGGTGGGGAATGTGGAGTTTTCTTTTGTTATATATAATGGATACGTTTCATTGCTTACATTGTCTACATGTATAACTATGTATTGCGTTTTTCAATAAAATATAAAAAAAAAAAACCTCCTTTTACAATAATCATTATTGCCAGTGCAGACACAGCTGACACTTCTACCCAGTGGGTGTATTTATAGATGAGTTTTCATGGGGGGGTCCCCCCTCCAACAGTTTTGTGTGTATGTGTCAGATATATTATCATTTTATATAATGTGTGTCAGTGCATGGTGTGTATGTATTTTGCGTGTTTCAAAATTTTTTCTCTTGCACTTGTGATATAATTCTTCGTAATCTTGTCCAGATCCTGTATTATTGTGGTATTTAACATTTTATACTACCTTGTAATTTATGATGTTTTAAATAAAATATAAAAAAAAAATTACAAAAATACACGGCATGAAAAATAGTTTCCGGACATCCACACGCCTTACACTCCCCACCCTCCCTTAGTCTCCTATTAAATAACACAACCCCAGACGGCAAAACCCCATGTAAAAACCTAAACAACCTCCCTAACACCTGGTTTTACCCGCAAATGCTGAAGACATTTCCATATATTCCCCCACGCATGCATAGGATATGCCCCCTCAACTGCCGCCACCACAGACCCACCCCCACCCTCTCAAGAACCCTCAGTTTAAAGGGGCGAGGTAGGGGTTGTTTAATGTGCAGTTAGGTGTGGGTGTTGTGGGAGGGGTGCATGTGGAGGGTGAGGGAGGTATGGAGGTGATGAGGCAGGTAGTAGGTGGTACAGGTAGTCACTACACAGCCCATCTCGCTCACATTAACAACTTCGACCATTATTAGTTTCTTAGTGTAGGATAGTCAAAGTAAGTCTTATATTTTATTCTTTTCTTTTTAATTTATTTTTCCCCCACCTTCGATGGACATGGTGACTATTAGTGTCGTAAAGAATAGTACAGAATTATTCCTAAAGATATTAACTTCAATACTCGTTCCTGTAGTCATAGAATATGTATGACTTATTAATAAATCCACAACATTTATACCCATAAACCTACCATCCCATGGGGGCGTTAATCAGTATATTGTCAGTTTATTCAGGTATAGTTGCGTATTTCAGGTGTAGAGAACCTGAAATCACACGCAGAGATCACTAACTTGTTTCCATTGGGATCCTCTTTACCTACGTGAAACTTCCCCACAACAATTTTAAATATACAGACTAAAATGAATGTTAACTGCAAATAGTCTTTATCAACTTGAATCTAAAATTCTTAAAGATTTCCCCTGGGGGAAATCGTGGCCTTTATAGCACTTAAATTTTTACTTTTTTTTTTTTTTCACTAATTCGCTCGTACCTTAAAGTTACTCTGAATCTAATTCAGAATTCTTAAAATAGAAAATAGTTACCTTTTTTAAAATCAAATTAGTAAATAATTACTTAACCTTAGACTGAATTTCCAAAGCCTAATTAAACCTTTATGCAAACATGGAGCCAACCAAAACTGTTCAAATAATAATCAAACTGTAAGCCACAATTAGCTATGTAGACCAATCCTCGAAGATATCTTGCTCAATCGAGACTAAAATCCCTCAGCCGAACACAACTCTGCTCCACTTCAAAATTTTCTACCTTCTATAAGTTTCGTATTCTAACTGCCTTCCCTTAATTTCATAATCACGCCTCTTGAAGTGCAAATCCTACTAGACAATGACTAAAATTTACCTGTATAACTATATGGCCTTCTTTACTGAGTAACATACATTCCTGGAGTATGTTTAGTAAGCTTGGGAGTGCCCATAACCCTAGTACTTATAAATTAAATGATTTAGAACTTAGCCATACAGATTGCGAAAAGGACTTTGGGGTTATGGTGAGCAGCAACCTTAAACCAAGACAGCAATGCCTAAGCGTACGTAATAAGGCAAATAGATTACTGGGATTTATATAAAGTGTAAGCAACAGAAGTCCAGAGGTCATACTGCAGCTTTATACATTAAGGCCTCGCCTAGATTATGCAGCTCAGTTCTGGTCTCCGTATTAAAAAATGGACCTAAATTCGTTAGAAAACATTCAGCGTAGGATGACTAAATTAATACATAGCATTAGAAATCTTCCTTATGAAGAAAGATTGAAGACTCTTAAGTTACATTCACTTGTTAGACGAAGAATGAGGGGAGACCTGATCGAAGTGTATAAGTGGAAGATGGGTATTAATAAACGGGATATTAATAAGCTCTTGAGGATGTCTCTCCAAGAAAGAACCCGCAGTAATGGATTTAAATTAGATAAAGTTTAGACTTAGAAAGGACATGGGGAAAGTATTGGTTTGGAAATAGGGTAGTTGATGAGTGGAATAGTCTACCTAGTTGGGTTATTGAGGCTGGGACTTTGGGTAGTTTCAAGTCTAGGTTGGATAATTACACGAGTGGGAGGGGTTGGATTTGAGTGGGACTTTCACATCGGAGCTTATTTCTTGGGTGGCATTAAAAATTGGGTTGGGCAAATGTTTTGTTAGTGGGATGAATTGTAAAGGACCTGCCTAGTATGGGCCAGCAGGCCTCCTGCAGTGTTCCTACTTCGTTCTTGTGTAACTACCCACAACCCCCCCCATCCATTACCAAACCTGGTACAATCAGTCTGATCAACCAGGCTCTTACTGCTGGCCGCACATACCTCCAAACCACATCTTGTCAAATACTGACTTTAGGTACATACCCAACTGCTTCACAAACCCTTAAGGTCAGACTCCTCAAAGGACGTTCCTTAACGCTGGCGAGTCTCTATATCTGAACACCTTCCATTTCCCTCTCCCACATGCGCTATATAAGCTTGAGTTTCTCAGATTAGATACCCGTATAATCTAAGGAGTGCCTCAGACTTTTAGCACAAAAATAGCTTTTTTTTTTTTTTTTGTGTGCGCGCGCACAAGTCATTCCTCTGTAAGAACTATATCCGCGTCACTTCAAAGATTGACTTAAACCACTATCTTGTAAAACTTGCCTTGCCACTTTCCCCTTGATCTACAAATAGCTTATTTAATACTTTAACTCTTACTTCATCTAATTTTTTATTCTCTAACCAAATAGATGCATTCCACGTTGTTCCTGATCATCACTTGTCTTGCTGCTTCAACCTCGGCAAGTTTAGCAGACTACCTCAGCGGCTCTCGGGTAATTCGTCTGAACTTTGCATTTAACTCTTCAGTTAAATTATGAAGAGCTTTAAACTTAATATTTACTAGTTACCAACACCCGTATACTGTTAGCTTTATCTTTCAAACTAAAAATAATTTCAGTGCTTCAGAAGATACTTCCACTAACCTTTAACAAAAAAATCTTTTCAGACACTGGGTGATACACCAGCTCACAGGCCTGCGACCTCTGGTGATAATCGTGGTAGTGATGAACGTCGAATATTTGGTACTAATAACAATCCAAGTTTAACATTCCCAGAGTCCTCAGGAAGAGGTTCTTCCACCGATAACACCCGTAATGAAGAAAGTGTATTTGGTACCCAAGGTATAAGAATTTCAGGAAGCAGTGATGCTCTGAGAATCAGTCCAGGTGTCGGTGTTGCTCAAGTACCTTCAGGAAGCACTCTTGCTGCAGATACCAGTGCACCTACCTTCGGTCAAGGAAGTAGCAGGGCCCGTCAAGCAGGCAGTGGTCCTGCTCCAGTCAGACGAGTAGAATCTCTAATCACTCCTACAGTTACAAAAGTCGTAACTGTTGATCGCTTCATCACGTTAACTGACCTGGCATTCCATAGTGTGGCAGTGACCCTCACTTCCCTCAGTGTGCAGACTGTCACTACTAGCACACTTGCCGTAAGTCTCTCACTGTTTACACTTCATATTCTTTAGTATTAAAAAAAAAAAAACTTCTAAAATTCTTTTCTCAACAGGTACTACACACCCCAGTTAATGATCACGTTGCTCTGCAGTCTACTGTGGTTCTGCGGCCATCATACATTACTGTAACTTGTGTAAAATCAGACTTTAGCCTAGTAACAGAAGTCTCTGTGGACCATGTAACTATTACTCACACGTCGTACATAATCCAGCAAACAACTTACACCACGACAGCCACTCAAGTGTAAGTAAATCTCTAAAACTTCACCTGTTAATCATATCTAGTTTAGTATCGCCTTCATTTAGTGACCTTGTATTTTTATTTTGCAGATTAACACTAACCTCTCGGTTGGTGAGGACTATAATAAGGACTGCAAGAGAGACCCTGACAGACTATCGCACCGTAACTGATACTGTTCTAGCTCCTGGCGCCTACTATGGCTTCCGTTCTGTCAACCTCTAAAATTTTTCTCCATAACTACACTGAATAATTTGTAGACTATTTGCACTAAACTTTTCATGTTACATAAAACAATACATTAAAGTTTCCTTCTGAACTTCCTAACCTGCTGGGTTAACTTGGTTCTGAAGCTGCTGACTAAATCTGATAAATTGCTAAAGCCCTCCAAACTTTATGTAGAAAAAAAAAAAAAAAAAAAAAAAAAAAATCTGTAGGCAAGGGAACTATGGACCCTCCCCTAAAACTACTAAAATCATGTTACCTTAGTTTCTCAACCCACGGGATGAGTATGTGCTCTGCTACTCCGCCCTGTTGACACCTGGTTGCAAGTAATGAACTGCAGCATATAAGATAACGAATCAACATGGACGACGCAGTGTTGCGCTTGTACGTAGGACTTCGAGTGGATCTACAGTACCTGTCCTCTTCAAGGGGGGCTCCTTGGCGTGGTGAAGAGGCTCTTGGTCTGAGGAATTAGCCCTGTCGGTCTTCTTCCTCAGACCGAACCTAATTACCCCCCATTCTCCCCTCCCCTATCCCATCCTCCCCATCCTCCCCTTTTTCCATTCCTCCTCCTCCTCCTCACCCCTCCCTTTTGCCCTTCCTCTTTTTAGCCTTCGTGATTTCTCCCACAGGCGCGCTAGTTCCTAGGTAGGGGAAAGGACACCGGGGTCCATCCCATTCCGTTGAGGTTTCTTGGCGGTGGCGTAGTTTGCCGTGGAATCTGGATTGCCTAGGGATGTCCCGATCCCTCTCCGGTATCCCGGAGTAGCTTTGGGTGTCTTTTGGGCGACGGGTGTATCTCTGGAAGCCACCTTTCGGATTCCGGGGGTGGTGGCTGAAGGAGGTATGCTTTGTGGCGGATATCCGGCCGCCCTCTCTTTTGTCCACCGAGGTAGCTCGGCAGATGTGAGGTTGCTATCCCAGATTGCTGGTTTACTGGCATGAAGGGTAGGGTATGGCACGGGTTCCATGCTGCATCTGCGCTACTAGCGGTGTCGAGTCCTCTTGGGCGCGGAGGGAGATTTCTGGCCCTTTCATTCCTCCTAGGAACTATCCCTCCCCGGTCCCCCCTTTTTTTTTTTTCTTTTTTTTGTTTTTATTTTCTTTTCTTCTTTTTTTTTCTTAAAAACAAAAAGAAAGTAACCTAACCATGGCAGCCCTAGTCCATGAACCTAGTACCCCCGGGCCCCTTCTTGATACCGCACCCCGTTCTGACCCCGCCTCGTCTTTGGACCACTCTTCAGACATTCCTCATGCCTCTGTACCTATTGCTGGTGCTGTTTCCTCACCCGCTTCAGGTACTGAGGCCTCGACTGACTCCTTCGATTTATCAGACCTTCGCTCTCCTCTGACTATGCTTCCGGCCTCTCCCTCTACGGTGCGGCAATTTTCAAATCGCCGACCCGTTCCACGTCGGACCAACTCTGGTCCCACGCCTAAACGTCAACGACAATTACCTGCTGATGATACTTCTCCACCTTCACCTTCTCGTTCTTCTCAGAAACGATTGACACGTCCTTCACTACCTTTCCACGCTCAGTTTCAGACTGAACAGTGGACTAAATTCTTCACTTTACGACCAACTTCCTCTACTGCCTATCTTTCTGACCATAGTATTGGCAAGGCACTCCTACGCCATGTTGGTAAAGATATTTCTTTTCATGCTCTTAAAGCGGTACGCGCATCATTACCGTACAGAATGCTACCCAGGCTCGTGAGCTCTCTCGTCTTTCCATATAGATACTGTTCCTGTCACCCTTGAAAAACATCATTCCCTCAATTCTTGTAGTGGTACCGTTATTCTGCCCCATACCATAGTTCAACAAAATTTCCAGACATGTGGCACCGACATTCTCGAACAGCTGGAACTCCAAGATCTCCAATCCTCAAGGTAGACACTTACGTTCTTCCTGCCGTGGGCGGAGACGATACCCTAGCAATGTGGCTCGTTTAACTTTTGACAGCCGAGAACTCCCATCCTCCGTTTATATAGCAGGACATCGGTTACAAGTTCGAAAGGTGATCCCTACACCACAACAGTGTAGAAATTGCTGGCGATTTGGCCATCCAGCGAAATATTGCAGATCTATCGCCGAATGCCCAGTCTGTGGTGCCGATGACCATTCTAATACGTCTTGCAATCGATCTCCCTCTTGCCTTAACTGTCATGAGGCTCACCCTTCGTACTCTCGCCGTTGTCAGATCTATTTAAACGAGCGGGAAATCCGTTACCTCAAAGAGACAGAAGGTCTCCCTTATGCATGGCAGTTTTCTTTCTCCGCC